CACACACACACACACACACACACACACACACACGCACGCACGCGCGCACAGCGGAGCACGCACTTCAAGGATCGAACGAACCAGAAGTCTTCATCATCCTCCTCCTCCTCCTCCTCCTCCTCCTCCTCCTCGTCAAAGGGAACGGGCCTGAGGCGGTTGAGACGGTCGTCGACAAAGACAAAGACGAAATCGACACCAGCAGCAACAGCAGCAACAGGCAGTCGGGCAGGCGGTAAAGCGAGTACTGGTACAACATCATCTCTATCTTCGTCGTCATCATCGTCGTTGTCGCGTGCTGTGAGTGTCGGTGGCGTCTCTGCCATTCGTCGATTGCCAACAGCAGCACCCGCCAACCGCCCAAAGAAGGCGAAGAAAAAGCCGTTTTGAAAGTGGCGGTGATGTGTGCTGCCGTACATGTGGCTGATGACACTTGGTGTTGGGGGTGTATCATACGACAGTGTTAGGCGTTCTGTTGTTACAACTTCATATCATTTGGTTTGCCCGTGGTGACATGTGTTGTTGACACAGCAGATGTTGTTTCGTGGATTGATGAATTGACTACAATAAACGACCTTGCTCCAGCTGTGCACGGTGCTGTTGTTCGTATTCGCTTCAAACAAAGTTGGGAGGGGGGAGAGCACAGCAAGTGAAACTCGGACAAATTATGGAATCAAAGGGGGGATATTGCACACAAACAAGGCACAAGGTACCACACAGAGACACAAGAACGCACACACAATGGATGAGCAAGCAAGCGGAGACAAGGGCCATTCAAACAAAGTCTCTCTCTCTCTCTCTGCGCATGAATCAATTAAACACAGCAAGCAAGCAAGCAAGCAAGGAAAAAAACAGTCTAAACCCCAACAGGATGATCGACAGGAAAAGAAACAGACACGAGAACACCTCCACGCACTTCATTCCCTCCATCATCACCACCACTGCTGCGACGCACAAAATCCCACCACCACCGCCATTCACCATCATCACCATCATCATCATCATCATCATCATCATCATCATCATCATCATCATCACTCATTGCACCATCATGTACCCGCGTCTGCGCTTCAAGTTGCGGTACTGCCAGATGCCAAGCACGAGCACCACAATCGCCGCGCACAGCCCAACAAACACACCTGCACACACGCACAAGAGAGCATTGGTAAGATAAAGGGCACGGCTCATCAATTAGTGTTGGGGAAGGGGTAGGGTGCACGAATAAACACAGATGATGGTCAGACAAACAGAGAGACAAAATGAGTGAGCGAGAGAGACTCACACAGACACAAATAGACGCACACGCACACATACACACGCACACACACACACACACACACACACACACACACACACACACACACACACACACACACACACACAGGGAGAACCACGGTGCTGACCAATGAGGGTAGCTGTTGGGACGAGTGGGTGGGAGGAGCTGCATGTGATGAGGCTCTGTGTCTCCACCAACTCCACATGGCCCATCATGCTGCCCCACGAATTGTCCCGGCATTCATTCAGGGGAAGCTCTGTGAAGAGGGTGGCACACTCGTCGGGGCCCTGGCACTCTGTGCCGTTGCACCACGTCATGGTGAACGTGTCGTTGTTGCTCGTGGCCAGCGCGTAGGTGAAGTTGTAGATGCCAAAGAGGCTGCTGTGGTGACACTGCTTGTCGGTTGAGCCAAAGCTGAAGCCAAACACAAGCGCCACTTCCGTGCAGTTGGCGCCTTTGCAGCCGGGCATTGGGAACTGAACGGCCTGTTGTGACGTGTGGTTGGTGAAGGGTGAGTGGTGGCGATGAAGGGGCGGGAGGGGGGCATAGAGTAGGGGTTGGCGTGATCAGCGGAACAAACCAACGATACACGCACACACACACGCACGCACACACACACACACACACACGCACACACCATACACACCATACACACCATACACACCTCGATTGCGGTGAGGGTAGTTCCGTCTTGGCCGTTGGTGACATAGGGCCCAACACAGGTGCCCGTCTCACGCGCACTCGTGAACGCAACAGAGAACGTGCGGGCTGCAGATGTGCAAGTGGGGGTGGGGAGGAGGAGGAGGAAGGGATGGGGAGAAGATGACACATGTCGAAGGGAGGATGTGATGAGGTGGTGGCAGTGGAGTGCGAGGGGCGGGTTGTGTGAATGAGCGGCAACGGAAACACAAAACCACAGAGGGATAGACACACAAACATACACAGACAAAGAGAAAGAGAGAGAGAGAGAGGCACTCACTCACACACACCACAACTCACACACACCACACACACACACACACACACGTGTATAGGAGAGTGTGCGATGTGCGTGTTCATGGTGTGGGGCTTACATGGCTCCTTGTTCCTTGCTTGCGTGACGCAGGCATCCAAGACAAGACCTTCGTGGACATACTCGCACCTGCCATACACAATCAAACGTGTGCACACACCAGTGGGGATGTACAAAAAGGTGTTTGTGAGTGTGGTTGCAGAGGGGAGAGGGGGCCAAGCGGACGGCAGGTCTGCACACAATGAAAGACAACCACACACACACACACACACACACACACACACACACAC